CCCAAAGTAGTAGCAGGTCCACAGGCAGCACCTCATGCAGATGTCTCTGGTTGCAGGATGCCCAATAGTGCAGGGTCCAGAGCAGCATCTCAGGGACCCTGTTCGCATGCTGCTGCCATATATTGTCGAGTGGGTTGTGACTCAGTGACCATGTATGACAGAACTTCCCAGTCTTGTACCACCCTCTCAGAATCCTTGCTACCTACTCTCAAGTTCACAGCTGCAGCCACCGCGTGACTCCATCCTCCTAAGGGTCTTCCTCTTTTTGACAACCCCTAGTGTAAGCCAATGTTGGATCTTCGCAGAAAGCAGAGAGCACCCGAGGATTATCTATCCATGTTTCATTGCCTATGCAAAGGCATTTGCCTGTGTGGATCACAACAAACTGTGGTTAACCTCGAGTAGAATGGGAATCCCAGAACACTTGTGTTCATGAGAAGCCTGTACTTGGACAGGAAGCAGTCTTCATAACAGAGCAAGGAAACACAGCATGGTTCAGAATCAGGAAAGGGGTGCTTCCAGATGCATCCTGTCTCGATACCTTTTCAACCTATATATAGAATCGATCATTTGGGAAGCTGGACTTTATGTGCAATGTGGCATTAGAATTGGAGGAAGACTTATCAACAACCTATGTTATGCATATGACGCAACCTTGCTTGCTGAAACTGAAGAGGACCTGAAGCGCTAGTTGCAGGTTAAGGACTGTAGTCTTCAATATGTATTGAAGCGCAACACCAAGAAGACAAAGATTCTCACCTCGGGACCAAATGGAAGCACCATAATACATGGAGAAGAGATTGGAGTTAACAATTTCCATTTACTTGGCTCCACAATAAACACCCTTGGCACCAGCAGCCAGGGAATCAAAAGACTAATTGCACTGGGGAAAACTGCTGTGAGGGACCTCTCCAGAGTACTGAGAAGCAATGATGTCAGTCTAGAGACTAAGATGCCCCTGATCCAGGTCACGGTCTTCTAAATTACTGCTATGCATGAGCTGGATGACTCAATAGTACATAACCACCACCACCAAGGGAAAGGCTTTGGGAAAAGACTTCCTTCTAGGTCAGCTGTTGCTCCTCTATTTAGATCCTCTGACCCTACAGCTGCCCCATCACTTTGTAGGGTGCTGTAGGGTGAGCTGAGGGCCTTCTCAGGTACCAGCAAACACACCTGCCAGAATGACTGTGGCAGCCAAGGGCTGAGGTAATCAGCCTGAACCACTGGTTTTGTGGAGTGAACACACTCTTGAGGGGAACAATCAGGTCACTTCTCGTAATGGGAATTTCTATGCAGTCCCAACGCTCTGCTGTCCCTATTCTGCAGCAAGGATGACACTCCTGTGAGAGAACCCTCTTTTGTGGCCTTTGTTATCTTGTCAAAGTAACTTCTGGAATGAGACCCTCCCTGGCTGTTTCACTCATGTTGGGATCAGTCCAGTGACCTGTGACGGGCAGGGCCCACTGCCCACACCTGGATCTGCCAGGAACCCACAGCTGGCACTGGCACACTGAAAAACGCAGCTCCCAGTCACTGTGGCTGTTGCACGTGTTACTTCCCAGCACACTCACGGGTCAGTGCTGAGGTATTCTGGCTACACTCCAAGGAGAAAGGACGAGTGGAGCACACAACTGGAGCGAAGAAAGAATAAAAAGAAAGAGGAGTAACTCCCAAACAGGACAAATGTGCAGATCCTGCCCTGTCCTTGGGTATCTGTACTGAAGGTGCCACACTCGACGCAGTTCACAATTCTGATGAACGTCTCCCTCTCCTTGTTCCTTGAAAAACTCTTCTTATATACCTGTGGGTTCACATAAGTATGATTTCTAGAAAGGCAGAAAGAGGCTCAAGAGGGAAATTTCCGACCCTAAGAATAAATCTTCCAAAAACACAGCATTCAAATTTCTTATTATCTCTCTTTCTGCAGACATCTACCAAGCATCCAATCCACTCCTAAAGCAACTCACTGAAAACAAGCTGATGAATTCTTTATCTAGAAACCACGAGGGAGCCAGGGTTTTGACAAACGCATTCCATCATACCAAAGAAACAAAGACTCACTCCCTGCTTCATCAAAGACAGGGCCTTGTATTCTTCAGGGACTCCAGGCGAACAATTCCAGGCATGTGAGCCCTCCTCCTGATAATGCATTAATAGCAACTTCTCTTCTCCAAGTGTCAAGTTCCAGGAAATCGAGGCGGAGTTCTGATTACTGGCAGGCTCTGCAGCGAGAAGTGGGCGCCTTTTTCATCTCACATGGGGCATACTCGTGTGTGGCTCATTTCTCAGACACCTGGACTCCTCTGGGATTAGCAGCCAGCTCAGCCATCTTGTTGAGGGGAACAGCACGAGGAGTTTGCACAAGTGAAAAAGCCCTGATGTGTCTCCAAGGTGAAATCAGACTAGTCCTGGTGGTTCATTCGCCTTAGTGCTGAGCAGGCAGGCACTGTCAGTTCTGCTCACAAAGCTGGGTTTTGCTGACTTACATCTTTTCCAGCTGGCTCAGACTAGATGAAAAGCAGCTACACTTCTGGGTGGAGCATCAGTGCCACCCAGTGGCAGTTGTCTGCCCAGGGACAGAAGGTGACTGGTATGGGAAGTTTTCTTCCCTTCCAAAGGACAGATGGGTACTTACTTCTCTACCACCTACTTGGCAGGAAGAGCCCACCCTACATGCTGCCACCTCTCAGGCTCACAGACAATAAAGCTGTCCCGACTGCCACACCAAGCACCTGCAAGCCTGAGCCCAGACAGGAGCACAGGTGTACAGGATGGAAAGGTCTCACTACAGGTGAGAAAGTTCAGAAGAACAGTAACTGATAATATGTTGTCCTCATTTTAAAACAAGGAGCACAGATTCAGACAAATGGAAAGACAGACTTGAACTTACAGAGTAGAAGAAAATCCCCCCCCCCAGATAATTATGTAACATTCATGTTGAAGCAGGATGAGATTCTAACCTGAGGCCAACATCATTCTAGAACCCTGTGAAGAACACCTGGCTCCACCTGATTTCTGACGCCCCCTGCTGGAAGCCCTGTCCTCCGCCTAGTCCCACCAGCACAGGGCTCCTTTCACCTCCCCGTCAGTCATGGAGACTCTTTCACAGCACCCGGCACCACAGGCTCTCACTGCATTTCCCGCCCTGGTCTCTAAGCAAGTATTTTATGAGCCAGGTAAAACATAAAAAACATGCATAATAGATACCCTCAGGGTCAAACTCATTATGTCTGAAACAGACTTCATTTTCTCTCTCCTCAATTTTCTGTTCCATTTCTAGTTTTGAGAATTATGCCCTTATTGATTTAGTCACACATACTCTTGCTCCAAGCCCAGGATTCTGGTCCCATCATCTGCATCAATCAGGGGAAGCTGAGCTCTGCTGCTTGCAACAAACACAAAAGCTCAGGAGCATATAACCAAGACTCACGTGCATCTCTGACAGGGAAATGACCTAGTGAATTTCCGGTTGCTCTTCTGTCAGCAAATGCTGCCACTTCTGCCCACACAGAAGTGGCCACACTAAGTACTCTGGCCATCTCCTATTTTAACAGGGCATGCAGACGCCTTCCCTACTGACAGAGTGTGCAGGCAGAGTACTTGACCCATCGGTCTGAAATCCTAAAAACTGCTAATGCCCCTGACTGGAAGGGGCCGGACACTCACCGAGATGCTGTTCTCGTGCTGTGGGAGCTCTCACCCGCCTGGACTTATCTTTGGTTCCTCCTCCCCTTTCACTATTAAAACTGTCCAAGTGCTCTCTGACTCTAAGCTCCAGCTCTACCAAGCAATGCAGTTCCAGTGGCTTCCTCTTATAGCCCAATGATCTCCCTGACGTCACCCCTGCCCTCAGTCAGGGCCACACCCAGACTCCTCAGAAGGAAGCAGAGCACCCTGCAGGGTCTTGCCCCACCCAGGGCACCAGCCCAACCCTTCCCACCTCCTGTAAACCCAGATCCAGTGCACTGCTGCTCTGCCCGCTTCTCCCCACCGGCACCGTGCCTCCCTGAGCCCGTCCTCTGCCTCTGCGATTTGGCTGCACTGTCCCTTCCTGGCAGGCCAGTGCCTGACATATCGCCAGCACAGAAATCACACCATTATTAAGCTTCCTTGGTCTACAGAACCCTGAGATTGCTAGACCGACCAATTGTTACGTTACATCACCAGTACCGGGGTACCAATGACTTAAGGTTCTGTCAGCTTTCAGAATGCATCCAGGCATCACATCTGAAGAATTATCAATGTGGAAGTCCACCAAAACCCATTAGTTTACCTCCTTCCTTCTTCCCATTCTCTCTACAAAATCTATGAAGAATTTTGTCACTCTCCCGCGAAGCAAAGATACAGCCATGTTTGACTCTAATGAGGCTATATTAAAAACAAGGAAATTTTGGTAAAATTGATATACCTGTCGAGATAGATGTCAATACCAACAAAAACTTGTGACTTCTAAATCTATCACAAATGTTGAGACAGTCTGAGTTCACAGGTAGGAGCACAGGTACAAAGATGAAATCTTCAAAAGTGAGAATAGACCGCTCTGGTTTTATCCACCAGTCAGTTCTTAGAAGGAAATAATAAAGAATCAGTGACTAGGTACGGTAAAGGTGTCACAATGATACTCAATCTCGTACTGAAAGAAGTGTTGCCTGGATTTTGAAAATGGTAGGAAGAAGGTGAGAGTGGGGAGCTTTGAGAACCGAGAGAGAAGATGAATAAGCCATAAAAATGCTGGTATATTAGAAGAAAAAGTCCACAAGCACATTCCAGTGACCACTCTTAATAGGAGGAAGGCCCCCAATGGGCTTTGTCACCTTTGTGGAATTCCACAAGCAGCCCCTTCTCTATAACCATGGCAAGGTACCCATCTCCATCTTTTCATCAGGCCACCTCAAGGCCACCTCTGGACCACAAAGGTAAAGAGACCACTGGGCCGTGAGGACAGTTGTGCTGCCCTTAACCCACAGATAGACCAAGGAAGAAACATGCTTCCCTACCTTTCGGCAGCGAGGATTGGGACAGCTGAACCTCTTCACGTCACTGTCCAGCAGAGCAGGGAAGCTGCAGGAGGGGCACCTGGTCAGAGAGAAGAGCAGTGTGTATTTCTTATTCAGGACCACAGCTGCTCAGAGAAAGCTGAGGTTTAAGCTAGACAGTCATTGCTTAACCAAAAAAAACCGGAAAGAAACTGCATGAATTTCCTGTCTTAAAATTGTAATGTAATATTTATGACAAAACCTTTGCCATTTCACCTATTTTTAAGTGCATATGCCATCAAAACGACAAAAAAACCCCTAAGAAATCAAACCAGCTGCCATCCAATTGTCATTTTGTGATACTTTTAACACAAATTTCTGGAAAAGTTGGCTTTCCATCCATTCACTGTTGCACATTTCCCTCCCTATCCTCTCTAGTTCGTTTATCTCTTTAAAAAGATACTTTCATTGTTGCACAATCCCCCCCTCCTCAGTCCACTCTGCTATGCAACTCTTATTCTAGACTGTTGCCATGCAGGTAATACCTAACCATACATTCCTTCTCAACAGTTCTTTCCCTCATCTCTTTCAATGCAGTGTTATTTATTCCCTCTTTTCTTTGTTTTCCCCAGCCCCCAAGTCAGTCCTGTTTTCTAATAGTGGCATTTTTTGAGACTGTGATATTTCACTCAGCATAATGTCCTCCAGGGTCACCCATGTTCTATGAGTTCCTTATTTTTCAGTGCTGCACAATATTCCCTTATGAGAATATACCCGTGTTTCACTAGCCATTCATTTGTTGACGGGCACATGGGTTGCTTCTATCTGTTTGCTATTGTGAACAACACAGCAATAAACACAGGTGTGCATATGAATAGTTCTTTCTACCATGTCGCCCCATGTGTGTCAAAGTCACCCCATGCGCGTCAAAGCAGAACCATGCTCCTCGAAGTCTGGATTAACTGGTATTTATAGTGGAACATGGTCAGATCGTCCTCCTGAAGTAGCTCTGGGGGGACTTAAACCTCCAGCCTTTTACTCAGCAGTGAGTTTATTAACCATCTGCACCACCCAGGGCCTCCTCACTGAAGGACATCCTTCCCTCTCAATCTTAACTTTATATTAAATGTGAACTAGGTAGCCCCACTGATATCTCTCCAGGAAATGCAGGTCCTATCCAGGGGGAAGACTCATGACAAACCCCTCAGTAAACACATTATGTACCGAGGAGTAACCACGAAGGAACAAGAGGTAATGTCTGGCTGCTAATCAAAAGGCTGGTGATTCAAACCCACCCAGTGGTCCCCTCACAGACAGACATGGTTTTATGGAAGAGATGTTGCTCCTGTAAATGTTGTTTGCCATCGAGTCAGCAGTGACCCTCCACAGGATAAAAAAGAGGCAGTAAAACACACAGGAGACTGTCCTTTCTTCTCCTAAGTAGCATCTGGTAGATTTGAACCACATGCCTTTGGGAGTGCAGCGCAGTTTTTTACCACAAGTGGCCATTTTAGCTGTACTTTCCAAACTTCGAGCAGTTTTTTCTTACAGAATCACAGCCTTGAAAACCCTAAAGTGCAGTTCTGCACTGTCACATGGGGCCACTCTGAGTCAGAGAGGATTTGACGGCAACAAGGGCCTGGCTGAGAATTCCTGACACGCGTCCCTTTCCCTCCAACAAGCCAATGGTTGTGACTATCAGTCAAAAGGTTTTTAACATTAATAAGAAAACTTTTAGGGGAGCTCTGGTGGCCTAGTGGCAAGAAGCTGCAACTACAATCCCAGAGGTGCACAGTTCGAATCCACCAGATGCTCTGCCGGGGAAGGAGGGACAATCTCCTCCTGTACCAGTCAGATCTGATTTGACGGTACACGCACACAAAAATAATAAAATTTAAAAAAAATAAGAAAACTTTTGTTTTTCAGTAGCCCTAGTGGTATGGTGGTTCAAGGGCTGGGATGTGATCTTAAGACCTGTGATTCCTGTGGGAGAAAGATGTGGCAATCTGTTTCTACAAAGATTTTAGCCCTGTCCAAGCCTATGGGAGCTCCACAATAGTAGTCTGGTTTCTGGTTTTAAGCAAGAAGTGCCATGGAACCTAAGAGACACGGCTTTGCTGACTGTCTCCTTGGAAGTGCTCAGGGGCTCTGGTGGCACTGAGGTCAGTAGTCTGAACATACCAAGAGCTTCCCGGGAGAGACATTAGCGTTTCCTTCTGTAAAGTAAAGAGTCACAGGCTCGGAAACCCCATGGACAGCTGTACTCTGTGCTTGAGGGTCTCTACAAATCAGACTCAACTGGATGGCAGTGAGACTGCTGTTCTAGGATGGAAGCAATGGACGATCCCAACTCGGAGAGCTCACCTGACCAGCTCGTCGGCATAGGCAGCAGCGACCTCCTCCTCAGCTTTCCGCTCGTAGTATTTGTACAGGATGGTTTGAGGAAGCACCTTCTCCAGCTCGCTGGTTGGGAAGGAGCATGTGCAGCTGCCTTCCATGCAGCTGAGCTCAGACTGTAAAGAAACAGAGTGAAATAGAATTTCCAGTAAATGAAATGCCTCAGTGGTCACACACATCTTCAATAGGGGCAAATAAACAGAAGTCTGAGATGAGAGAGTAAAGAGTTCTCTGAAAAGAATCACACTTAAAACAAGGAAAATGAGGGGAGGGGGGCTCTGGTGGCAAGAAGGTGCACTGCAATCCCAGAGGTGTGTGATTTGAATCCACCAGATGCTGTGCTGGAAGAGGAACAATCTCCTCCTATACCACACAAATCGGATTTGACGGCGCACACACACACACAGTAATTAAATTAAAAAAAAAAAATTAAAAACACCCCCAAAACAAGGAAAATGTGAAACCACCAGAACGAAACTAAGGTGTTCCACAAGTCCTGGTCTGGTCTCATGGGGGAATGCTCCCCAAATGGCCTCTGTGAACATCCTGGGACGGAGTGGGACTCCTCCCACCAATAATACCCACAGTACTAAACAAAGAACTACAGTCAGACATGCTACCTCGCATGCTCCCATTTAGCAGAAGGAACTTCCACGAGGACTTTAAACTGGAGTCTGTGGAACAAGCATGAAGAGACATTACACATCTCTTACTTTTCCGGACCCGAAGACGGCCTCTTGAGCATATCGGATGAGACATTCCTTGCAGAACAAGTGCGCGTCTGCACACTGCGTCAGCTCCTCAAAGGGAAATTCCCCATAGCAGCAGCGGCATTCAATCAGCTGACCATCCTGTGCAGGCAGAAAGAAACACGGATGTCTATGCACGGAGGGGAGCCACTGTGCTTCTGCCTAAATGCATCCAGAAATAACAAGTACCTCTGAAGCCACAGCTATGACCAGCTGTTCTATGCTGTGCAAATCGAACTCAAGTTGCATTAACACACAGCTGAAGACATTCCCATACTCATTATTCGTCAGAGTACCTCTTCTAATGTTAGGACCTCTGCTGGCACAACAGTTAAGTACTTGGGGCCAATCAAAAGGTCGGTGGTTCCAGGGCCCAGGAACCTACGCAGCAGCTCTGCTGTGACATGGTATTGTCCAGAGTTGGACTAGATGGCCCTTAACAACAGAGGTATATATTTAAAGTCACATGCTATAAAACGCAGCACAGCAAGAAACATCTTTTTGTCGCACACTTACAGTCCTTAGAGAACATTCTTCACTGTGCATCTCTACCATCGTGGTTTTGAGTCATCACACAGTTTGGCTCATGCCATCTGCTTTCCTTACATCTAGAACATTTTTTGTTTCATTTGAACACTTCCTGGACAGTTATTAGAACCATGCCTCCCAGGTGCCAGCAGAGCTAGCATGCCTGTAACCACATGCCAGACATGCCTGCAAGAGTTAGATGTGTGAGATGTTATCCAAAAAGCTTCCTCAAGTAGGAATTTTCTCTTGTTAGGCAAGAATATGGGGAGGTTATGCCGAGAAGTTCATGTTGGTGAAGTTAACGTGAAGCATATCTTACTTAAAGGGCTCCTGATAGTTGCTAATGGAAACACGTCTCAAGGAGCATGAATAGATAGCAGTTTCAGTCCTTACATAAATTGCAATGATCAAAAGGTCCCCTGTTGGCCCCGTGGTTAAGGCAATCAGCTGTAAACTACAGTTACCAGTTCAAACCTTCCCGCTGCTGTGAGAGAAAGATGAAGCATGTTGCTTCCATAAAGATTTAAGCATTAAAAACCATCCTCTGCACTGCAATCTCAGAGCTGTGGGGTTCTAATCCACCAGGTGCTGGAGAAGCGGGGGCAATCTTCTCCTGTACTAGTCAGATCTGATCTGACAGTACACACACAAAATAATAAACCACTTCTCAAAAAAACTCAAAACAACCAAAAAAACCCCATCCTCAGAGGCAAGTCTACTTTGTCCTACAGGCTAAGAGTCGAAATCAACCTGCTGGCAACAGGTCTGGTGTGCAATGATTACTCTATTTACAAATTTCTTTTTATCCACTTCAAAAAAGACTGTTACATAAGGATGGCAAAAAAAAGGGGTTGTACAGCTCTTCCTTTTAATCTGTGAGAGGTATCTGAGTTCTAAACATTCTTCTAAGTTTCTTCAATGGATTCTAGGTAGTGATCTTAAACAACAGTATCTGTAAGCATTATCTTCCCTTGAATTCCGGTATCAAAGTCTTAATTGTGATGCTACAGCCCTGGAGGCATAGTCTGTAATCAAAAGGGTAACAGTTTGAATTCACTATTCTCTCCCTGGGAGGAAGAGGGGCAATCACCTCCTGTGCAGATTTACTGCTTCAGAAACCTGACAGGGTGTTAGCTGGGTTGGAGCTGGCTTTGTGCTTCATGTCTCTGATGTGGAACTCAGTTCAAATGCAAAGTCAGTCTACCAACATATCAACAGGTAGTTGAATAAAAATATACCCATCATCAAATTAAAGAAAGCAAACAGCCCAGAAAAGTACTCAGCATCAGTGAAGTGTGTGAGATGTCAGACTACCTTCTGATACTGTTCTTCATTCATCTGCAAGGCGAGCAAAAAGTCTTCATGCTGAGAAACAGAACAAAGATGCCACACACCCATTAGTACTCATCTCCACAAACAACTGAACATTACAGTATTTATCATACCTGCTGCAGTGACAATGTTTAAAAAAGTGTACCAAAAAATACTTTTTAAATGGACCAGAGGTGACTGGACCCCGATACACCCACACTCTATCAAACTCACTACTGTCAAGTCAGAGCTCACGCCCAGCTGGTTTCCCAGGTGGGACACACTACAGGAGTGCCCACCCACCTTCCTCCTCCAAAGCAGCTTGTGGATCTGAACCATCAGAGAGGTTCTGTGTCATAACTTCTGTGTCAGAAGTGCAACTCTTTACCCCCAGAGCTTCTTATACCACAGATACACAAAAATATAGTGAAACCTTTCCAACAGAGAAAGTGCTGCTGAATTTGAAAAGATCAACAGCCCATTAGAATAAGTGGCAGAAGTTCCAGAACTCATACAAAAAGGAGAGAAAGATCCTTAAAAGTGACAACATGCTTAACCTCATTCATTATAATGGGAACTCCGGTGGCCTACGGTAAGAAGATGAGCAGCCAACTCTAAGGCATGAGGTTCAAATCCACCAACAGTTCTGCAGGAGGCAGATGGGCAAACGCCTCTTAAAAACCTGTTCAAGGGTCAGCTATGAGTCAGTTCTGACTCAAGCAATGAGTTAGATTGATACCAGTAACAACAGGAGACAAGCCCAAGCCTGACAAAAGACTCTGTAAATGCTGTGAGAAACAGGCACTCTTGACATCACTGGTAAGAATATCGAACAGACAAACGCCAGAAACACCTACACCAGCGTGCATTGTGCTCACCTCGGCCATCTCCTTGACTTTCTGCTCATAGAACTCCTGCTCTTGCTGCACGGCTGGAAGGAGGGCATGGCGCTCATAGGACCTGCAATGCCGCCGTTTATTTTCTAGGAAGAACATCCTCTTCTCTATTTTCACATCACCTACAAGATAAAAGGCCATGAGAAATCATGCAGACAAATCCAGCCTGCACCTTCAGTCCTCTGTGGTCCACATCCCCCAACAACTCGCTGGCAGCAAGCCTCAGGGCTTTACTTGCATTGTTTACCCTCTGGGAGATCTGGGCTCCTTCCCACCCCTATAACCTACCAGAAACATCTTCCCTCCTGTTGTATGAAGAAGTGTTGTGTGTTCAAGGCTCTGCCAACACTGAACAGTGCTGATATTCCCCAACTCATGCTATAGTCTACTATCGACGGCAGTTTAGTTTAGTTCTAGGCATTATGAACAGGGCTGCTCAGAGCCTCTAATGGTGAACGCAAGTCCACATGTCTACTATAAAAAAGGGAAATACTAGATCATGGGATACACATATCCATGATGTTAGGAAATAATGTGAAGTTTTCCAAAGTGGTTGTACCAATTTACACTCTAGTTCCAGAAGCAGCGTACGTGAGTTCTAGTTGCTCTACCTCAGTATAACTGGACAGGTGTTCTACCCGGTAAAGAAACACTGCCATCATTCGAGAGGTGAAGACCAGGTGACACAGGCAAAGGAGGTGGTGCCAGCATAGGAGGTGACGCCAAAACTGAGTGGGGGTTTTTTTCCTCTCTTTTTTTAAGTCTTAATAGTTAGGCTGTAACAATGAAAACCATTTTTCATTAAACTTGGGTTACATGTATTAAGAGAATACCTCCAAGAATAATACCCTGCTCCAATTTACTTTCTGAACCTCCTAAAGTGCTCTAGGGGCTCTGGATTAAGTGCACGGGCACTGTTTCTTTCTAGGATGACAAAGATATCTGAAAATTGACTGTGCTGCTTGCACAACTGCGCATAGTTTCATCTTTTCCCACTGCACGCCTTTAATTCTTTTCCCGCTTTACTGTGCTGGCTACAACCACCAGAACCATGCTGACTAAAGGGCTTTGTTCCTGGATCTTAGAGGGAAAATGTTCAGATTTGCATGATTATGTATTTTGTTAGCTACAGGTGTTATCTAAATTGATGTTCAGTTTACATAAAGAAAATTGTGTAGTGATTAGCATTCAGGACCATAAAGGGAACATGGAAGAAACACTCTCCCTCTTGTACAATGCAAGTGTTTGAATGGAAAAGAAATGAAAAGGTAAACAATGGGATTCCAAGAGCAGCAGAAGGGTTCTTAGCTTACCTGCTACATAGGTGATGTGTACCTTTAAATCACAAATATTCAACCTTAGAATAAATTCATTTCCTTTCTTACTTCCAGTGTCCTAAGTCTATTACCAAGGTCAATTTAATGATAAGAATCTAAAATTGATGTATGTGATGAACAATGGGCCAAAATTAATAAAATGACTAAGCATAAGATAATGTTAACAAAACTGTGAGTAGGAGCGGTAGGTGACTTAAAAGGCTGCATGGATGAAAGACTAGCACTTAATGGAGGCCAATGGCGGGTCATGTTTTGAATTTAAAACGTGAATGCATTCTCAGTCTGCAGCATGGAAGCCCAGACTTGTCCCACTGTTCTTATGTAGAGCACTGGGTCGAGAATGCATCTCCCCAAGTGCTCAGAGCCACTGAAAAGTAGAGAGCAATGCACGTACGCATGCGTGCAGACTCTGAGACAGCGCTGAGGAAGACCTGAAGACACGGCAGGGAGTTCCATGATGGCACACAGAAAGGCACAATACAAGGGCAGAGCTTCTGGAAGGCATAGCTGACCAGTGTGCCGATGGCTGGCAAGGCTCAGCTGTCGATCCATTCAAAACTGAATTTAAAAAATGCCTTTGCAAAAAAAAAAATGCCTTTGCCTTTTCACATTTTGTCACAGACCACTGAACCCTACGCCTCAGAACAGCTCTATTTCAGCCAAGCTTCAAGGTCCTCAGGATCACAGCCTACACGCTAATAGAGCCTCATGGATTCTGTAGTTAGTCACACTCAAAAGTTATGATTACACAGAAATGAACCTCAGCCAAAACTTGTAAAATACAACCTCTTTCACCCCTTTGAAGTTACATCATCAGTGAAAACGGGATTTATCAGTATGTGGTCCCTTGAAGAGCTTTCTGTCTGTGCAGAAGCCCATTCTGAAGTGGGAACCCCAAAGTCCTCTTCCCATAGTGGTTCACTGAGCCCTGTGAAAAAGGGCTCAACCATGAGTCTGCATGGATTTTACCAGTGACACAGCTACTACATTTTTATGCAAACAGCTCTCAGGATACTGCAAGCCACACAACTCCCTTTGTGGGTGGTTTTCCTGAGTGCTATGTGTATTCCATGTGCAGACATGTAGCATGTCAAAAAAATAAAGCAATTTTCCCTGACCTTCAAGACCAATGTCATCACACCTAAGCTTAAAAGCTGCCCAAACCCTGTGGCACAAGAATTCGCTAACATTCACAAAATGTTTCTGACAAGGTGTGTTCAGGAAGCTGGCAACCGTGGCCACCTTCTGTAGCATGAGATGTGCTGGTGACAGTCTGTGAGGACCCCCCCCCATGGAGGAGCCAGTCAGCCCGTGATGAGCCTCCCAGGACTCGGCTTCGTCTACTGACTCTGAGGGGGAGGGGCTCAGGTCATTTTTATGTGTGACTGTAGCACACAGATTGCATTACCTTGTTCAAATTTGAAATCTATGTAAGAATACTGATTCATTTCTTTTCTTTTTTTCCTTTTTCCACTGGTTTCTGGCGATAGTTCCTGCCATTTTTTAATGGCATCAGAAAAGGCCTAAAAATTGACAAAGGGTAAAGTTATCACCAGGATTGGAGAATAAGAACAAATATGCAAGCCCCAAATTACCCTGCCTCCTCGTTTTAGCTATTTTTCCTGCATGTCCTGCAGAAATCTAAGTTCACTAACTTTACATAATAAACTGTTACAGCGGCAGAACCAAAATGCTTCCCTACAGATATAAAAGGTGACCTAAGAAGTAAAACTTGCCTAGCCCACCCAGTGCCATCGAGCTGATTCCTACTCCTGACAGCCCTCCGCCGAGTTTCTAAAGTTACAAATCTTTTTCATTAGACTGCTCATCTTTCTCCAGAGGCCTGGGGATGTGAAGCACTGACCTATCAGTTATAGCACCTAACGTACATCACTCCACTGCCAGGACTGTCTGTGAATAAAACCACTTCTCCCGAGCTAGCTCTGACTCACGTGATCGCACGCATGTCTGAGGAGAACTATGTTCTACAATGTTCTCAGAGGCTGAGGGTTTTCAGAAGCAGATGATCACGACTTTCTCTAAAGGCACCTCTGGATGAATTAAAATCACCCACCTTTCAATCAGTAATGAAGTACATAACTGTTCATGCCACTCAGTGACCCTGTCCTTTACTGTTGCTGTTGTTGACTGTCTTCCAGTCGAGCATGTTCATAGAGACCCTATGAACAAAAGCCTTGAAGCCCCTCTACAGCTATAGACATTTATCAAAGTTCTAGTTTCCAGAGGCTTGTTGTTTAGGAAGTGGATGCCACTCCTGCTTCCTCCTTTACTGAACACAGATTAAACCACAAATGACAGTAAGACAGTAATAAACATCTACCGTACTCCTTTCTCTTTTCCACCTTGCTACCAGGCCCTCCCTCTCCCTGTTCTGCAGCCAAGCTCTCACCCAAGATGGTGGTTACCTTCCTTATACTAATGACACTCTCATTCTATGTACAAACAAAAATTCCGACTTCCAGCCTTGTCTATTCAACGGCTCGATGGACCGTGTCTTCTTGGGTATCTCACAGGCCCTGCTGCTTAGCATGCTGGGAACCCAAAAGGAAGCAGAATCTTGGTCCCTGAAGTCAGCATTCCTGGCACTCCTTATCTCAGGGAATACCACCTCCGTCTGCTGCTCCCTTTAACTGACTCCTACACAGATGCCATTAGGCTTCTTACTACAGGCCTCTCATGCCCAGGAAGGCCCTCTGGAGACCTCTTGGTCTACACAAACCTAACTGACTAGGCAGTTTTCCTCTGTTCTGTAACATTACTGTTGTCGGAATTCACCTGATAGCAGGGAGTGTGTTCTGAGTTTTTGGTATACACACATCTATATGCTAATAAGCACAATTCTTGGGGCTTTCTGTTCATTATTTCTCACAGTCTCACAATCATACCCTGAAATAGGTATTATTTTATAGTAGAAGCAAGCAAAAATTACAGAAAAGTCCCTTGGCTGAACCTACAATTTTTTAAGGGCTACAATCTGAACTCCAGCCCGTCTCAGGACTAAAGCTCTTCATGGACAACACGGCAGCGTTTTCATACCTAGGATTCTGTGGATCTCGACGAGGAGCTGGTGGAGGGCCCAAGTCTCTGCTGCCTTCCCACCCCTCCCTTTCACAGCTTTTGATTTCTTCTTGGTGTAATTCCCACTACACCCAACTTTTCCCCCACAAATTCTTAAGCATCTTCCCCCCTTAAGTATCAATTTTATAGTCACATCATTGTACTCAATAGCAAGACTACTAATTTCTCCCAAGTTTCTCCTAAAAGTAAATACCTTAAGCTTTCACCAGAGCTACTTGCAAAACTAAGAGAAGTCGGCAAGACAGGTATTACAATTTAAATTTATAAATTGAGGTAACTGATGGCTTGGTGTCATGTATCAGCAAACAACGAACTGGGATGAGAACTCCAAGCTCCTGACTTAGCGGTAGTTTTCCAACTACCCCAAGACGCCATAAAACGTAAAGACTCGACAAGCTTACTGTGGTCCAAAGACTCATGTAACATCAACACTTCAACACAAACTGGAACTTCTCAAGTTACATTATTGTTGTGCACCATCAAGTCAGAATCCACTCATAGCTGACCCTCCAGAGGATTTTCAGAGGCAGTAAACCACACAAGAGGAAACTGACCATCTACCTCCTGCAGAGATCTGGTGGTTTTGAACCATGTGCCTTTGGGCTGGTAGTGCAACTCTTTACCATTAAGCCACCAGAGCTCCCTTCTCAAGGTACAGTAAAAAATGTCTGCAAATTTACAGCTGCATTGACAATCAGCAATGATCTTAATACTGACTAAAGGCCCAGGCAAGTACCAAATAAAATCAGACTGCAGAACCAGAATTCTTCTCTTTGGAGAATTGCTAGTCACAGTCACACTGAGGAGCTTCACAGGTACCAAGGGTATTTTCTCTTGACTTTGAACCTTGTCTCTCCTGCTCAGCTGACCCCTTTTCTGTGCATTTCCTAGGCAATCCTGCAGCTTGCTCTATTCACCACTTTTTTTTTAAAAATTATTATTAGTGTGTGTACCATCAAATCAGATTTGACTGGTACAGGAGGAGATTGTTCCTCCTTTTCCAGCAAAGCATCTGGTGGATTTGAACCGCTCACCTCTGGGATTGCAGTGCACCTTCTTGCCACTAGGCCACCAGAGCTCGCCTATTCACCATTCTTATAAGACATCGTCACACTGTATTTAATCATGTTTTCTCTCCAAGCAGAAAGCTCTGTGTTTGGGGTTCCGAGCATCCTTAGGGCCTAGCCTGGTAGTGACTGCACAGTAAGCACTAAAACCACCTAACAAGAGGAACATGGAGACAAGGGCTGTTCAAGAAAAAAAGACTCTTTGGCTGTTACTTGGCATCTCTCCCTCCCGCATGCTCACATTCACAAAGCTCAAGGTAATACCTACTCAAGATCACGAGTTCTGAGAATCAGATATAGATGGGTAAAATTCTGAGGACATCTGTATCTCTGGTCAAAGTTCCTTTAAGGGACGAAGAACTTGGAAATACTATCAATGGACACTTGGATGATGACAAAGAAATTGTGGGAAGAGACTGAGCTTGGAAGAGAAGTCAATTCCAGGGACGAAGACGGATCACCTGTACAGAGACAGAGATGACAGTGAAAACCAGGCCATGAGTGAAATCTAGGAAACTCAGAGCAGAAACCTTGAGAATGATGAGAGAGAGAGAAATCAAACCCAATGCTATTATGTTGATTCCAAGTAATAGTGACCCTACCAGGATAGGGACGTGGCTGCCAAGGCTAGAATCTGTACAGAAGCAAAACGTCACATCTTTCCCTGAAAACGCTAATAGATTTGAACTGCTAACCTCTCAGAAGTCAAGTACTTAACTATTTGCAAAGCCAAAGATCCTGAGTTAAAGAAAAGAGGGAGTTAGAAAGGATGACCCACTTCCTGTACCCATACACTCCACAAGGGAAGAGCTGGTGCACTGCTCACATACGTCTCCAGTGAAGGGCCTAATGCTGGAATCAGAGAGGAAGAGCACTTTTGTAGCAGAATTTTAAGAAAAATTCTAAGGGGTAATATCCACCTCATGATATCTGAGTGTGCAAATGCAGAATTCAATAGTAAGATCTAAAACACTGGGTATAACAAAGCATACAGGCAAAGGAAATCCCCAAAAAGGCACTGAGGCCAAATCACAGGATGACAGCTGTGCAGTAGGTGGAAAGACAACAAGAATGGGCTGGAGGAAGCGGAAGGCTCCGGGGAAAAATCCCCAGAGATTAACTGACAGGTTTAACAACATGCAATCACCAAAGCTGAGCAGCAAGTAGATTTCAACTCACGTGGCTACAGAGCACAAAGCAGAATCATCTCACCTGGTTTCCAAGGCTACAAGCTTTATGCAAGCAGAGTGCTTTATCTTCCTCCCCCAGAGCAGCTAGTGGGCTTGAACTAACAACCGTAACCAATGCATGAAAAATGTAAAAAGTGTCAAAAAGTAACAATTTTAACTTCATGACAAATATCAAGTCCAATAAAAGATATGGTATAACAGTATACAATTACCCAAGTAGGAAATATTACCATAGTCCTAAGAATGAAAACAGATTTAGGAAGAGCTGTGTATACACCGTTTGTATAGATGTTTGTGTGTTTGTTACCAAGACTAGAAGCCTCATCTACCATAAGAGAAAATGACAGTTTACAAAACAGATGAACTCAGTAAGCATATTTTTATACATACAGATGAAAAAAATATCAGAAAAAGTGTATGTTAAGAATTGAGAACTGGCTGCAACTACAATCCCAGAGGTGCATGGTTCGAATCCACCAGATGCCCTGCCGGGGAAGGAGGGACAATCTCCTCCGGTACCAGTCAGATCTGATTTGACGGTACATGCACACAAAAATTAAAAAAAAAAAAAGAACTGAGAACTGTCTCTAAGAAGGAGCAGGTGAGAAACAGAAAGGCTTTCTGAAAATTCATTTCAGCATTGTTTTTGAGATTACAAAAAAAAAGACTTGGATAAAAAGCACTGTGAGCTGTAGAGTTTAAGGCTTTACTTCTGAGTCAGTCAATATAAACAGAACTGAGGCACTGTCTTGTCCCTAGCGAGCCAGCTGATTGGGAACCAATCTTTAGGCCCTGAGATCCCGGAGCTATGCGGAGCACACCTAGAAAGCCATGAGCGCCACAGAAGCTGAGACCGTCGACATTCTGATAACAAGAGAGGGTGGCTGCTGAGGCTGCTCGCACACAACCAAATACATCATGGAATCTGGTTTCCTGGTCTGGAGGCTCCCGGCGTTAGTTCACACGATACCCTAGTTAACTGGCCTAACACCTAATGGGTAATACAGTGCCTTGGGCCATAAAAGTTCGCAAGCATCCATCCACAGTACAACTGGTCTTTCTCAGCCTGGAGAAATGAGGACAAATGGAACACGAAGCTGCCTGCCTCCATGAATAACTGCTCCACACTGATCCAAGACAAGAACAACTGGTTGGTGCTCAACTGTCATCACTAAATGAATTTATAAAAGATTATTTTTTTAAAAGCAGAAAAACAATCTAATCAAGGGGAGGAAAATGTCAAAGAGAATTTCAAATTTCAGGGACCTAGGGAGCTCTGGTGGCCTAGTGGCAGGAAGCTGCACTGCAATCCAAGAAGTATGCGGTTCAAATCCACCAGATGCTCTGCTGGAGAAGGAGGGACGATCTCCTCCTGTACCAGTCAGATCCAATGTGACGGTACACACACACAAAATAATAAATTTTTAAAAAAAATTCAGGGACCTGAGACTTTTCTGAAGCCTCAAGGCTAGATGATTCCCTGATCCTATTGTCCTGACATGATCTTTAAGTCTGATGCCACAAATACTCCCTGATGTTCTCTTAACCCAACAGTGAAGCTTAACTCATAAAAAAGTCTGCATTTCAAGATACTTCTGGGGACTATTTATATAAGATAAAATTATCAACTCATCATTCAACTCAACTTACTGGAAGGGAAGAGACTGACCCATCTTTGTCCTGCAGAGCAGCTAGTGGATCCAAACCACCAGAGTGTGGTCTCGGGATTAGTTTGACTCTCTACTGGCTACGCCACCAGAACTCTCTACACTGACAACGGAAACCTGAAAACAAAAACTTAAGAGAACACTTAGCTTATATCACCAGAAGAGGACAACTAAGATAAGGATAAAAATGGCTGCCCAACCCTATATGGGCTCAAAAGGACAAAAGCAACTTGAAACATAAGAAAACTTAGGGAACAGTAAGCTTCTGAATATGAGAGGAACCAGTTAGCAAGAGAGAGGGTGAGAAAGACTACTGGAAGAAATAATGTCAGTGAATGTCATAGACTCAATTGAAAACTACTGTACTGACGTATGTCCTGCTGTGTATATTCTCAAAAATAAAATAAAAATGGGGAAAAAAACAGTGAAGCTAATGAAATCTACACACCTGCAAACGTGTGTGACCCCATTAGAGCAGAGAGCAACTGGACCTGCGCTGTATCAGGGAATGACATGTACTATTAACTCATGCATCCTCACGCCAGCCACGTTAACAAAGCCATCGTGTACTCAAAATACAATCTCAAAGCACAGAGCAACAAGCAGCAGAACGGGAAATGAAATCTGCAGGCAGTGGGAAAGAAACAAAAAAATTCAAACCAGAGCTGGAATAAGATTCTAATCTAGAAACAGATAAATGAGAGAACAGAGGAAGCAGATGGATGGCACTGTGGCAGTGCCACCAACAACTAAAATCTCATTAGAAAAATGTAATTCAATTCCAAATTATAATGATCCTACAGGACAGAACAGAAATTACCCCCGGGTTTTCCAAGCTGTGATTTCTACAGAAGAAAGACTCCTCCATTCTTCTCAGGAATAGCCATTCCTGAGTGGATTAGAATTGTTGTCAGCAGTTCAACCCTTAGTCGATTCACTGTGCTGTCCGAACTTCCTTTCAACAAACAAGAGTCAATAAATACAACCGAGGGAGGGGAGAAATTAGCTATTAAATGAGAGCTAAGTAGCACACAAAACATTAAAGAAAAGTATTTTTTTGCTACACCTTGAGAGAAATTAAAACACTGGCTGATTTTGATAATGTTAAGAAATCAGTACTAAGTATATTAAGTTCTAGTAATTATATATTGATTTAAAAAAAAATCTTGTACTGCAATCCCAGAAGTACATGGTTCAAATCCACCAGATGCTCTGCCGGAGAAGGAGGGAAAATTTCCCTCCTGTACCAGTCAGATCTAATTTGACGGTACACACACAACAATTAAAAAAAAAATCAATCCTGGGGAGAGGGGGTGAGTAGAGAGAAAAGTACAACAATGAATGACTGGAAACCCCAAGTCTCTGTAAACTTTCATTAAAATTAAGTTTTTTAAAAAATCCCAAGCTTTTAAAAATACATACTAAAATGCTAATGGAGAAAAACAAAGAAAAGTGTTTGCAACAGTTTTCAAAACAATCTGGTGATAAAGACGGGAAGTGTATATACAAACCAACAAGACCAATGGCCAATACAACCCTAACAAAACCCCACTGGCATGGGGTCAGCTTTGACCGAGTGACCCTGCAGGGCAGACAACAGCTCCAAAGGACTCCATCGCTATGGCTCTCACGAAGCCGACTGCCTCACCGTCCCTCCATGGAGTGGCTGGTAGGTTCAAACTTTTAACCTTCCACTATCAACAAATGACTGGGTTGAGAACTGTGGTACATTCCCACAGTGGACTATGCAGCACTCAGGAGCAATGATTTTGAAAAATATTATATAACATGGGAGAGGCTAGAGAGCACTATGCTGAGTGAACTACATCAAGCACATAAGAACAAATACTGTGTAAGACCATGGTTGTTAAAAAAAAAGGTACCTAGTGAGATCTGTATGGACATACAAAGAGGGAAGGAGAGGGGCCAGGGGGCTGAGGTGAGGACGGGAAGGGGGGAGATAAATTATGAGGTCAAAGAGCTTGATGGGTGGAGGGAGAAGGGGGGAGAAGGACAGATGTGAATGAAGAATTTAAAAAAACCCCAAAACACTCCACAATGAGTTATCAACCTTCTAGCCAGCAGCCTTATGCTTAACCCACAGCAACCAGCAGCCCCTCTGCTGAAGAACAGACAAAACAAAACTGGGCGGAAGGTGATAATTACTGAAGCTAAACGATGAGTACTTGGGGGCTTGTTAAAATAAAACTTGAGTTTTATTTAAGAAACTCCAAGGTCCCAGACAGAGGGAGAGAAAACTGTAGAACAAAATTCAAATTCCTAAAAAGGCAGACTTACTGCTCCTAGAGAAATGGGTGGAACCTCCAAGATTATGGCTCTTAGACCAGAACTCACTCCTTGGGATCACTTTACAACTCAGCCAAAAAATAGGAGGCCGTAAGTGAGCAATGGTATCCGTGAGGAACATGCACCTCAGAACACTGAATGACAAAAGATGCAAAAGGCAGCATTTGCTGCAAAGTCAAAACTAGAAAGCAGCAGGGGTCAGGAAAGCCGGGTACACGCAAAGAGGGAATCTCGGGAAAAGAGTGGGGTGCTGATCCACTGAGAGATGGACCCAAGGTCATGGAATGAGCGCCATACACACTGTTAAAATGGAAGCTACCTTGTCCTGGAAACCTTCCCCTAAACCACAGCAAAACATGTAAAACAAATTAATCCAGGAAGGGAGCTCTAGTAGCCTAGGATGAAGAATTGTGCTGCATTTCAAAAAAACTGCGGATTTGCTCCACTGGAGAAAGCGGGACAATCTCCACTGTGGGATGCAGTGCCTCTGGAAAAAGGTCAGCTACAGGTTGGTAACGGCTCAACAGCAAACAATAAACATATTTGTCCTTCGGAAAACAAATCTGTATGCTGGAAATCCCAAGAGTAAGAGCTAGAATCCAGAATTTAACAGCAGCTGAGACCAAACACAGGGCTGGGCTGGGGCTCCTATCCCAGGTCCAGAGGACTTCAAGAGGCAAGGGGAGCTGAGTGAGTGTGTTCTCAGTAACAGCCAGCACCTGTCTAAGCCTGGGACCATCTTTAAGTTGGTATTTTAAGGCACCAGGAGAAAAAAATGGGAGCCACTCCTTTCAGTAACTGTTGTTCTGTTCTGGGTCCAAACAGTGCTCCCGGGATGCCACTGTGCCCCCAACCTCTTTGCAGCTCTCCCCTCAGGTAACTGACAGGCAGGTCACCTAAGAGGACTGAGCAAGCTAATCTGCATCAGGAATCCCCTCAGCCAGGGGCAGGACAGAAACCTCTAGCCCTCAACCCTGAATCCCACTGGGGAGTGGGTTCCCCTCCACATCTCCAAGGCCAGACCACAACCTAGCTCTGTCAGTCAGCACTGCTTTCCCCACCACTCTTCCTCCTCAGTAAATACCTTCATTTCCCTTTACCCTGACAAACTCCTTAGCTCTCTGCCATCATAAACCAGCCCCATTTCTGCCAGCTGACTCTTCGTTCTGATCTCAAAGGAAGGAGCAGCCAACAGGTGTGACCCCACAGGAAGCCCCAGGAGAGCACCTTTCGGGTGATTGCATAGTGTCCTTTGAGCTCATGCAGGGCCCACTTGATGTCCTGACTGCTGAGCATTTTGAAGTCGGCCATCAGGAGGTCAGCAGCTTGGATGAAGCAGCGCTGGTCAAGAGGAGCCAGTTTAGAATAGTCAAAAAAGTCTATTTTAGGCAACTGGAATGAGAGAGAGGCATAACATTAGTGGTTACACTATCCATTTCCCCCCAAAAAGGACAGGGGAAAAGTTACAGAATCTTAGAAAAGTTATTACAATAGCATTTTAATTTTTCACAAACACTAAAATAAAGCCCATAGTGATCAGAATGAAAATGTCCATGAGAAGCAGTCAGTCTTTGGCAAGATGAAGGGGGCTCCAATTTAGTTTGGCTGGAATCAAGAGCTGATATCCAGGGGTTTGAATCCAATGTTTCTGGTATTACTTTCCCATCAAGTGTTTAGACAAAAATTAATTTTATTCTTGCCACAGAATAGGGAAAGAAAGAGACCGTGAAACCAATCTGTCTGCAGCACAGGGATCAAGTGACAAAGCCCAGAGAAGTGACTCTGAACTAATTTTTCTTTATCAGCTAACATACCAAATGCTAGTTTTGACTACAAATTGAGGGGAGTGATAAAGGTTTTTTAAGATCCACCTACTTACATCTCACCTTCAGGATCTGTTAACATAGGTGTAGGCCCTGTATATAAACATTACATCAAAAGGGGCAAAAACCCCAATAATCAGATACTGCATTTAGGCTAATCAGGGGCATACTGAAACATTTCTCAGGGAAAAGTGTGTATTGATGTTTACAATCTGCTTTGAAATGCCTTATAAAAACAAGCACTAGTGAACACGATAAAGGACCGCAGCAAAAAGCAACTGAGCAGCATAAAACACACTCAAATTCTTTGTCAGAGAGTTAGAACCAACTCGGAGCTGACTCTCCACGGGGCTTTCGGGGGCACGACTGCAGAGGAGGAGACTGCCCAGCCTGCTCTCCCAGATCTGCTGGAGGACTTGATCCTTTGGGTTAACAGTGGAATTCCCTGCGGACTCCGCCAGCAGGGCTCCAGCAGGAAGCCATTCCAGGTGAGATCCCTTCAACTTTTCGGTATTTTTATAATTACTCTAACAAAATATTAAAACATCTAAAATGATGAATCCTGGTTAATTTTTGTTCCAACTGAGGAACATGCTTTGTGGGACTGAAGATATTACATCTTTTTTTAAATTGTTCCGGGAAATGGGATACAAAGATCGATAGATGTTAAATACAAAATTTAGCAAGGTTCAAAATGTTCCAATACTATCCTCAAAGTGAAACCAGAATGCAGTTTTTTAAAGGCTGAGTTACCTGGAAGGTTAACCAGAATGAGCAAATAATCAAGTGGAAGTACTGGAATGAGAGACTCAAAAGAGGCGCAGAGAGGTCTTCCAGGAGCCTGATGGAGGAGGCACTGTAAAGAATCCAAAGTGCACAGAAGTGTGGCTGGCTCTCCTCCCTGAGCACAGCTCAGTCGGTTAAGACATTCAGTAGCCATGAAAGGTACACGCTGCCTTTGTTCCAGAAACGGACATTAAGTTCCCAGCAGGCCTCCATGCATATTTCTCCTGCTATAGTTTGAAATGTCTGGTGTTGAGAAGGGCAGAATATTTGTAGGTAGAGACAGAAAACAAGAACCCAAAACTCGCCTTTATCTCGTCTTGGCTGGCAAGAAGGCTGCTGCTGGGGTTTATGATGACTCTATCTTCTCTCTTTGGATAATCTGGGTTTTCCAGAAGAAAGTTACAAAGTCTGCAAAAGTAAAATGATGTTATTCTCATTGTGGTTGTTGTGGACTGCCTTCAAGTCGAGCATCACTCATAGCGACCCTGTGAACAAAAGGCCTGGAGCTCCTCCACAACCATCGACATTGATCAAAATTCATAGAGTTTCTAGAGGCGAGTTGTTTAGGAAGTAGATGCCACTCTGCTTCAAAATCTCTCTCCTTTCTATGGATTCTATTGCAATATTCAAATAACAAGTCCAAGTCACATACTACAATTGACTGCTCAAGGAAATACATCTTTGCAGCACAGAAAAATGAAACAAATGGATAAACAATACCAATGACATTACTGTTCTATTTTTTGCTGGTTGGTTCAACAAATAATGAACACATCTTAAAATCACTAAAATGATAATTGGTCAAACTATGAAAACAAGAGAATATGGATGGGAAGCATCTACTACCAGTTAAGAGAATCAGAATTTATAATTTTAAGTTTGCCAAATAAAACAATAGTCTCAGAATTTTCCACAGCACTTCTGTAATCCTGCGCTCTGGTCGCCCAGGTCAAGGAGTCACACAGCCAATCTAGGGCAAGAGGTGTGACTCTACCAGGTGCTCTGAGGGGAAAAGGATCTTTGCCATTTACAGCCTCTGGAAATTCAGCCAGGAGTTGGTTCTGACTCATGGCAATGAGAGAGATGAACTCTAATATCCATCTCATTTATGAGCAATGTGCAAGAGCCCTGGTGGTGTAGGACAGATGGTGTCAGGCTGTTAACCATAAAGTCTGCCATTCCAGTCCAACAGCCCCCTCATCAGGAGAAAGATGGGCAAGCTCTGCCATATACTTTACAGCCTCAGAAATCTGACAGAAGTCAAAACTGACTTGAGTTTGAGTTTCAACCTGTAACAAACACAAAGGAGTAAAAAGATGACCTCACAGTGATGAGGAAAAGATCTGGGGATAGGCCACACTAGTCACATAAAGGCAAGACAGCAGTTCCTTCCTGTGCTCCTGTAGAGTCTCGTGTGACCATTTCCCTTCCCAGATGCCACACTTTATCACTCCTCACCGGTCTCCCTTAAATTCATTTCTCCCTAGTTCCAAGGACATTAGTAACAGTAAGAGAGGAATCTTGAGACAGCTCCGCAGAAGACTGTAGAGAAGAGATGCCTTAGCCACCTGCTGGCTCATCAAGTGCTTGTGCCGTGGGACTGGCACATGGGGAGGGACATTTACTCAGCAATGCCCTACAAACCCCAACCATGGCCCTGCATCACTGCCCTCTCCCTCTCTTACCCCCACGACAATCTGCAGATCTAGCTGCTTTTCCTCAACCATGACATTCAGGATTCTGACACGCCTATGCTCTGTAAGTTCTCACCTGCCTTATCAGCACAGCCTACTCAAGCTACCAGAACGTAAAGCCAGAGGTCCAAGCCAAAAGCCACACAACTAAACGTGCCAAGCTGAATTCAACTTACAGCAGCCTCACAGGAGAGTAGAGTAGAACGCTGGACAGGTTTTCTGAGGCCATAATCTTTATGGAACCGAACTGTTCCATCTTCTCCTGAGGAGACTTTCAGTTAGCAGGTGAGTCCTTAACCCTGCACCAGCTTTTCTGAAGGCTCAAAATGAGAGGCCGTGGGAGAAACCTCTTGCCACATTATAGTTACAAGACATGGAGAACAAATCCTGGCAGAAGACTTCTGAGCATATTTTTCTTTAAAAGGTAGAGCTGTGCTGAAGGTACTGCTAACTGGAGGTAAGAGGTTCGATCTCACCAGCCTCTCCATGAGACGAAAGGGGTTAATAGTAGGCTTCTATAAAAATTTTGAGCCTTGGAAACCCTAACAGGTCCTGTTGGAATCAACCTGGCCGCAGTAGTTCATATAATAAGAAATGCTAGTGGTACAAAAGGTTAAGTGCTTGGCTACTATCCAAAAGGTTGGCAGTCCAAATCCACCCAGTGCTCTGATGGAAACAGGCCTGGTGGTTTGGTCCTATAAAGACTGCTTCCTAGTCGACCAGACTTCCTACTCCGAGACACTGAAGTATTGCAGGTCAAACAACTCCACAGCATCTATCCAGACAACCAAGTGGGGTACACCGTGGGTAACATGGTTCTTAGAGGGCCGACCTGAGCATCTCTCACACTGGAAGACTCTGGAGGGAATCTGCTTTCACACAGCTCCTTACACAAGGATACCACACCACTGCTACAAACCAGTCCAAAGGAGGACCAGCTCTTCTTCTTCAGAGCTGTGGCCTCAAACAGTCTGCTAACTGGCCAACAAACTCTCAGGTAATAGGCATCTGGGATAAGATAAGAAGGCCAGCAGAAAGAATCGTTTTTGAGAGAATGGTCACCCATAGGCTAATAAGCTAAGCCAGTGGTCTTCCATCAGACGCATGGTGTTGGAAGAGTCGAGTGTTACGTTCTAAACTTGATTTTTCATTCTTTAAAACATGCCATTTTGTCTTTCCTAAATATCTATCAGATGGCCTAGAGGCAAGAAGCTGCACTGCAATCTCGAAAGCACGCGGTCTGAATGCATCAGATGCTCCACTGGAGGAGGGGCAATCTCCGGTAGCAGTCAGACCTGATTTGACAGTATACCAAAAAACCACCCCATATATTATGTCAGGGAAGAAGGGTAGGATTTGTAATTTCCCTTTAAAATTTACATATTTTAGTGGTACTTCTACCACACGGAGCACTGGCAGTGTAGCTGGTGGGGAGCTCCATTGCTATTTCAAAGGCCATGCCTCTCCGGTGGTTCAAATCCAAAAACTTCAAGACAGAAAGATTGTTCAAAAACTGATTTACAGTTTTTTAACTTCAATAGACAGTCAGTTCTGACTCAGTGAGGGAATTTTTTAATGAAAAGAGCTCCAGTTTACAGTGGTCAATTACTGAGTTGCTGATAGAAAAATAAGAGGCCGGAACACCAGTCACCTGGAGGAGGAAAAATGAGGCTCTCTGCTCCCATAAAGATTTACAGTATCAGAAATGCTACAGGACAATGCTACTGTCCCACAGGGTCACGGATGGAGTCAAAATTGACTCAAAAGCAATGAATTTTGTTTGTTTTTTCCTCTTACCAATTAGATTTTCAATAATATAAAGAACTTCACAAATGGAAAATCAGATGTACTCACTTGGAACTGTCAAAATTCTTATTTAATGCCACCTCTACCTTTCCTTCCATTTTCTTCTGATGCTTCCATTATCATTTACTATTTTGCCCATAGAAGAGCAACAAAGGACTTGAATTTGTTCGTTAGTTCTTTCAGCTTGAGAAATGCCCAGCTTAATATTCCCTTTTTGTTTTCTAATTTCAGCTACTTGCACATTTTAACAGTTTGTGTTCTCAAGCTTCCCTTTAAAATCTTCTGATCAATTCTCTTCAGCATGCTTTCCCTTTGATTTGGTCTCTTGATGTTCTAGTACAAGCTTCAGAGTCTCTTCTGACTCTTATTTCGGTCTCTTCTTTCATTTCTTTGTAATGACCTGCTTTCTTCATGGATGATGTTATCCCATGATTCATCTAGTCTATGTTCAATCCATCTTCCTTCTAGAGATGTTTTATAAATTCAAAGGGAATAGATTCAAGGTTGTACTTTGGTTTTCATGGTCTTTTTATTTTCTTCATCTTTTTTTGAACCTGTATGTGAATAACTGGTAGTCACTTCCACAATCAGACCCTGGCCTTGTTTTGACTGCTGATTCTGAGTTTATCAGTCGACTCTGTCCAAAGATGTAGTCAGTATCATTTTACTTAGATCTACAACACTGATGGTAGCAGCAACCAAGAAACTGAAAGACATATATGACAATGGGGAAATGTGCTTGTTGGGTTTATTTGTTTTTTTTCTTTAATTTTTGTGTGAGTGTACCGTCAAATCAGATCTGACTGGTACAGGAGGAGATTGTCCCTCCTTTTCCCGGCAGAGCATCTGGTGGATTCGAACCGTGTACCTCTGGGGAAATGTGCTTGTTAAAGACCTCTCCAAGAGTAAAAAGAGCAATGCTATCAGTTTAAAAATTTAAGATGCACATGACCCATGACAGTTTTTTCAATAAGTTGGAGAGTGAATAAAAATTATAGAAGAATCAATGTCCCTCAGTTGTGGTGTTGAAGAAAAGTAGGCTGTGAACTGTCGAAAGAGCAAGTGAATTTTCCTTGGAAGAAATGCAATCAGGATGCTCCTTAGAAACAAGAATGGTGAAACTCACATCACATACTTTGGACATGTTGTTAGAAAGGTTAACTTGAGAAAAGATACCATGCTGAGAAAGGTAGAGAGTCAGAAAGAGTGAGGACGATTTAATGGACTGACGTGATGACTGTAACAATATGCTAGAACATGCCAGAGGTCGTGAGAATGGTACAGGACAGGGAAAGGTTCTGATCTGTGTTCAAAGGGTAGCTATGAGTGGTAAAGACAGCACATAACAACAATTAGCAACAGAACTTCCCATGGACAGATGATTAAGGACAAGACTTAACTCCTACAGACACAAGGTACAACTCAATTTACTCTACCAACTGCAGCTGATCATAAAGGTAGCTGGACTGCCTGCCAGAAGTCAAGTGTAGCCTACCAATCAATTTATATAATTTTCTGCTTGATCTGACGTGACAAGCTAAGTTTCCCAAAATTTTATCCCTGGATAGATGCTATTGCTGCTTCTGTGACGCAATTTAAGTTGCATTACAATGTGAGTGAAAGTCTTAGCTAAGCACCACAGTAAACTGCCTGCCATATCAAGGTCTTCAGTAAAAAGATCTCTCTTGCTTAAAAATGACCAGGTAGGGTATCTAAAAGGCTATTTAAAGTGGAACCGAAAGTGAGAGTCAGTCACCATGAAAAATCCCAGTCTGTTACCTGTTTTGCGCTTCATTCCTCTCTCTATGGGCCACCACCTGGTTTAGCTGTGGGAGTTTACGCTGGCTCCCCAGGCACACTTCATGAGTCCCTCACCATGAGGGACATGCACAGCTACCCTAGCCTGTACCATTCTCACGATCTCTAACATGTTCTAGCATATTTTTAGTCATTATGTCAATCCATTTTGTTGCAGGTCTTTCTCTTAGTACTACTTCTAATTTTAAAAATCCGTATCAGCTGCTTGCAACTGTGATTAGCTGATTTTAGTACTCAATGATTTCCTCCAAATTTACAAGTTTCCTCTCTGCACACTTGGGGAGGAAGTAATAAGGAGGTGGTTTATTTTGTACTGGTGTTCTCTGAAGTACTTGTGTTTATCAAACTACTTAGTCTTCCTTGAATAATTTATACACACTTTGCTTGATGACATTAGGTGTAAACCCTTCAATTTAACAGCTTTGTTTCCATTTGGGCTCCTCATTACCATCTGCCCTTCTTTCCTGCCTCCTCTTGCTTTCTGAGGTTGGTCTCGGGAAGAATGCTGCCTTTTGGTCTTCTGTGATTATTCTGAGGAATACATTCTTCTGGGGTTTTACTGATCAACTTATAAGCATATCTACTGTTCAGCTGTAAAGGATCCTGCGCATGGGTTCAATTGTAGATGAGAAGGGTATCCACAGGCCACCATCTTGGAGTGTGACCAGTCAATTCTGGTTTTCAAAACACACATTTATTAATTAATAATGAACAAAGGAGGAGCTCTGGTGGCCTAGTGGCAAGAAGCTGTACTGCAATCTCAGAGGTACACGGTTCAAGTCCACCAGATGCTCTGCTGGAGAAGGAGGGACAAGATCTGATTTGATGGTACATGCACAAAGAATAATAAAATAATCTCTGTAAATGCTCATTAAAATTATTTTTAAAAAAATGATAAACAAAGGAAATGCATCCATTCATTTTTGCAACAATCAGAGAATACTTCCTGTTACAACGATATACACAACGTCTCTTAGCATTCTGCCAAGCACAGGCAGGCTCACTGCTCAGAAACAGCGTATCTTAACTCCATATCCACGCAGTACACAATCAGCACAGGACTAGTGTTAGAACCCCCAAACTAAACACTGCTGTGTACTCCTAGAACGGAGTACACAGAACATATAATCTATACTATGGGCCTAGTTTTACACTTTCAACAAATGTTGAGCACCTCCACCCAGACAAAGGGACTCCATGAGGAGTAAGATACAATCCAGTGCCCACCCTCAATCAGGATATAATCCAGAGGGACCGATGAAAAACCTTGGGTGAAAGTAAGTTAAGAGATGAACTCAAACATTAACTGACATAAAGCCCACCCAGCAGGACTCTACATTTGTCTAAAGACATCAATATTAGACCAAGCCAATGCCAGCTCAGAGTGACCCTACAGCATGGGCAGAACTGTTTCCAGTAGTGTTTCCCAGGCTGTAATCGTTACAGAAATAGCCTGAGCCACCCTTATCCTACAGAGCAGTTGGTGGGTTGAAATTGTTGGCCTTCTGGTTAGCAGTCATGCACTTTTAAACTCAGTCACTGAAGCGCCTTACTCTTCTGAAAGATCAATAAAAAAGCATGATGGTATACTTACACATTCAAATCATAGTAATTCTTCAAGCGAATTACTTCCTCAATATACCCATTTGCTACATCTGGAAATCTTGCTTCCTAGAAAGGTTAAGAAACGTTATTTACAGTTCGTTTAATAGAATGAACTTCAAACAGAAGTAAATTCAGAATGTAAAAAAGGATATAAAATGACCCAAGATTACAAAAGGCTAGGCTGTGCCTGGCTTAAAACTCAATACCTCAATACTAGGTTCGCAGATTCATCTTGTTTACACAGAATATGCAATCTAGAGTGGAATCTACAACCTAGAACGGAGTACACAGAACATATAATCTATACTATGGGCCTAGTTTTACACTTTCAACAAATGTTGAGCATCTCCACCCAGACAAAGGGACTCCATGAGGAGTAAGATACAATCCAGTGCCCACCCTCAATCAGGATATAATCCAGAGGGACCGATGAAAAACCTTGGGTGAAAGTAAGTTAAGAGATAACTCAAACATTAACTGACATAAAGCCCACCCAGCAGGACTCTACATTTGTCTAAAGACATCAATATTAGATTCTGAGCTTTCTAATATGGCAGCCATTAGCTCAAGATCCCTAGGGGGCAGGAAGAGCTTGTGATTCCCTGCTAACATAAGGTTGGTGGTCCAAACCCACCCACCATCTCTATAGAAGACCCAGTGAGGTGCTTCTGTGAAGATTACAGCCAAGAAAATCCTACGGAGCTCAGTGCTATTTTATAAGAAAGGGAACCACTATACCCAACAGGAGTGGAAAACAGCTGTCAGCCCCACTTAGCTCCTTAAAATGTCACTAGCATAACTGGAAACAAACAGCTAATATGAATTTATTCTATGGCATGCAAGAGCCACAGGGGCTTGTAGATAATCCTGGTACACTTGTGTTAGCATTTACATCTGATATCAACTCAAGTGTTTTTCTTTTTCATCAAATTATGGTAATTAGAGCAAAAGCTTACCAAACCATTTTCTAAGTATTCATACGTCTCTTGTTTTATGCCAACTACAATATTCACATTGGAACTGACTTAAGGTCTTTTAAGAAACTGCAAAAGCTGCAGCTACGGTAGCATGGGGGCCCCACCCTCTACAGCTAGAACTGCCAAGGACTGCTTGAGGGCTAAGCACAGACTCTGCAACCTCAATTCAAACTCCGTAAGTGTTCAGAGTTTCTCTTGTTCTACTTTACACACCTTCACAGACATCTCCTTAGGCAAATCTTTGGGAAACACACATAGACATGTACACACAAAATATACTTTTACAATGAAATAAAATACAATACACCGAGAGTCTACATTGACTTACTTGGTAAAATTAAACTTACCGTTTCTTTCACTAAAAATGAAACAAGTTCCTGATCTACTTCAGTAGCTGCTTGCCCCCAAACGTTTTCCAAAGTGGGCTCCTGAGATCCTTGCACTGGAAAGGCTGGCCCTGGCCTGTTGTTATCTATTGCTAACTGTTGGTCTTCAAGTTCTCTTAAAGGATGGGTAGACTGAGGGGACGAGGGGCCTGGAATCTCATCCTGCTGGGGCTCTGGCCGTGGGAAAGCTGGCCCTGGGGGTTCATGCTGAAACAACCGTGGACCTAGTTCTGCTTCAGGGCGACGCTCCTGAGGAACAACCTGGCTTGGTCTTTCCTGAGCTTCTTGGTTTAGAGACTGCAAGTAAGGATGGCCTAACCAGCAGTCTTCCTCGATGGTTTGATCTTCTGCGATTGTAGCAGGTTCTCCAAGCTCTGTCTCCGAATCGTCTGAAAATTGGTCCAGGTGGTCACTTTCTGAGAAAACAAGGTGACTATCCTCCAAGAGGATTTTTTTCTCTGATCTGGGGTTGAGAATGTCATTTGCTGCTTCGCTATGACTTGGTCCAGGTTGGGGTTCTCTTCCTCTTTGGCCACTGGACTTGGTGAATTCAGAGACTTCAGGAGGCTCCAGATCCAGAAAGGCACCGTAATCATCCTCAGAATCATCCTGTGCCCCAGAATCAAACAATGAGTTGTTACACACTGAAAAATAGCTGTTCTTATCTGATTCAAATGCTGTGCTAGACTTTACAGGCCTTTCTTCCAATCTTTTCAGATCTTGCCACCGGGCAGCTGGTTTGATGAGATTGGGTCGTGATGTCTGAGGTGTACTTATCTAAAAAATGAAATTTTAATAAGTGTGGTCAATTTCTTTCCTATGTCTATGCCTCTTTACGTACTTACACTGAGCTTCTGCGAGAAGAAAATAATTTTTAAATCCTTCCCCTCCTCTCACATAAAATCTACTCTTTACATTCATCTTAATATTGAAATGTGATCAAGCAAACACTGGCTACACAGAGATTAAAGCCAGAATGACAATTTGAAGATAGGCGAGGTGTCAGCTCTTAAGAAAAGGTAATGCTCAAAGCTATGACAGAGAATGAAAATGAGACGATGAAATACAAACGCAACATAAAACTCAAGGTATTTGAAATAAATGAAAATTATTAAAAGGTACAAAAAGAAACAATATCATTTTCAAAAGGAAAAGAAAAAATAATTGGGAACACACTTAATAAAATATGCTTAAAAATGCCCTGGTTAAGGAATCTAAAAGATTAGGCCAAATGAAAAGACAGAATCAATCCGTTCTTCTGGCTCAAAGAGTCACAAAGTTATAAAGGTTATAAATCCAGAAAATCTGAATGAGACATCATTACTTATCTACTGGAACTAGAAAAGGAGACTGTAAAATTCACACCAAGTTTTAAGAACATCCTGAATGACTGAAAAAATGTAGAGTAATAAAGGGAGATGAGCTTTGTGTGACAGCAAAATACATTATAATCATGTAGTAATTATAAGATTGTCAAGTAGAGCATAAACAGAGTAATGATGAGGAAGGTTCAGTAGAAAAACTGCTCAAAACAGTTGGAGCACGTGTTCCACTCTAAATGGACATTGCTTAGGGTGGAAGAAATGTAGAACAACTTCCCACCAGGTCTCCAGACCCACCCCAAAGTGGCCTGAGATTCAGATCACTAACTTGACGTAATCTGTGCTGGCAACCTAAAGGTTTGAATCCAATAGCATCTCTGCAGGAGAAGGGCAGGCAATACCCTGTGTGATTTACTGCCTCAGAAAACCTGCTGGAGGGTCCGCTAGGGGTCGGTTCTGACTCACAGAACACAACCAACAATATGAAGGAAAATTTAAGGAAACGTACTTCTGTCAGGATGACATCATCCAAGTCGTCTTCCTCATGCTGTTGAGCAACTGGAGTGAGCAGCATTGGAGTCCCTTCTTCATCAGAGGAGTCGGATATGGTGATGGGTCCATCTCTGAGATTGATCCAGTCTATAGGAAGGCAGATAGCACTGTTACCGGGAGACCAGCATAATCATACTCAAGGCATTAATTCATCTTTGGCCTGAAGGATTCAAGCCTAAGCCAAATTCACAGCTCATAGTGTGGTAACTACTCTTCCTACTTGGGCAGTACATGCACTTCAGTATTTGAAACCTATGCCTCTCTACTAGTCTTTACCAACAGCACAGGTTAGAAACTGCAGAAAACCTGACAATTACTATGCTTCAGAGTATCAATCTACTCTTACACGTAGTTGGAGAATTCTGCTGATAAAACTCAATTCTGCTGCCAATCTCTCAAAAGTGCTATAAAGCCTCTTCAGTGCATTTCTATTTCTCCCAGGAAATAAAAGACTTGTATTTTTAATTTGACAGATCGGGAAAAGAACCACCTGAAATGAGAAAAACTTTTAATATGTGTACACCTTTCACATAAAGTTTAAGCATCACTTATAAATCTATTTGTGATTTATACCATTGAATATCTATGACAAGAAACAATTTAAATTTCCAAGCTTCCTCTGACATATAATTAGGGTTAAGCTAAGCATCCACATGTTGTAATTATGATTCAGTCTTGATCTCCTTTTGTTTGCTTTAATCATGCTAGATATGAACTGCTAGTTAACAGAATGGACACTAAAAAGAAAAGAAATGAAGTGCTCTAGTTGCAATGAAGTGCTGCTGAGTTGACTGAGACTCATAGCAACCCTATGAAGAATGGCTCTGAACTCTGAACTCTGGCCTATATTGCATCATCTCCAATATACTTGAACCCATTGTTACAGTCACCATGTGAACCCACTGTGTAGAGGGTCTTCCTTTCCTACATTGGTTCTTCCCTTTTCAAGCATGATGAAAAGTCCCAAAGGACTGGCCCCTTCTACCAGCATGCCCAAGTACATGAGACAAAGCTTTACCATCCTTGCTTCCAAAGAGCATCCTGGTCACACTTTTTCCAAGACAGACTTGTTTGTTCTCATGGCAGTTCATGGGATATTCAGTACTCTTCTCCAACATGACAACTTAAAGGCACCAATTCTTCTTTTCTCATCATTATTCAGTATCCAACTTCCAGATGTTAGGTGTTGTCAAGTACAACTCACAGCGACACTATGAACAACAAATCTAAAGCACGTCCTATCATGCACCAGCTTCATCAATTCTGATACACCTGAGCCTATCACTGCGTCAACCCATCTTGTTGAGATTTTTCCTCTCCTTCACTGTTTTTCCAAGCATGATGTCCTTTTCCAAGGAAAAGCCCCTCGTAACAACATGCCCAAGTATGTGGGATGAAGCTTCAGCATCCTAGCTTCCAAGGAGCACTCTGGCTGCACTCTCTCCAGGACATATATGTTTGTTCTTTTGACCCCCATGGGATATTTAGTACTCCTCAATATCACAGCTCAAAGGCATCAATTCTCCTGTTACTGTTAGTCACCATCCAGCTGTAAGATGCATGGCAAGTAACTGAAAAGAGCATGGTCTGAATCAGTTGTTCTCCATATTTTGGACAGTTCCTTGACCACACGTAGTCTTTCACAATGCAACATGTCTTTTTTTTTCCCCCAACATGTCTTCATTTCTTGACTTCTAGTACCAAAGGTGCTGATAGAGTAAAGTGAAATCACTGACAACTTCAATCTTTTCTCCATCTGTCATAATGTTGCCTATTAGCCCAGTTCTGAGAACTTGCTTTCTTGATGTTAAGATGCAATCTATATTTAAATTGTAAATTTTTATCTTCTACAGCGAATGCTTCAAGTCCTCATTTTCAGCAAGCAGAATTGTCATCTGTGTAACACACATGTTATTGGGTCTTACTCCAATATTGATGCCACATTCTTCTTCACCAAGTCCAGCTTCTCAAATACCTTTTCTCAGCCTACAGCTTAACAAGTATGGAGAAAGGATACAGTGCTCCACACATCTTTCTTGACTTTAAACCATGCAGTGTTCATCTGCTGTTTGGAAAGCTGCCTCTCGGTCTAGGTATAGGTTTTCTATGAACACTATTAAATGTTTCTGGATTCCCGGTATCCTAGTAGAAAATGGTAAATTTTTTTTAAAAAAGACATCATTATTCTTATGAGAAAGCTGTTGTGCTGGTGGGTGCAGCAATTTGAAGTGCAACTGGTCAGCCTGTGGGATCTAAGGTCAGACCACCTACATTCCCGCTCAGCTTTATCACGTACTAGCAACATGAGCTGTCACTTCTTTAAGAATCTACCATCTCAACAGGAGTTTCCAATGGTGTCCAACTCAAATAATGGAGGATTTTCTGAGAAAACCCATGTTAAAAGCTTACTTCTACAGTACTTGACACTCAATGCTCTTTCCTACACCATAGCTAAATTTCACAGTATAAGAACTACGAGTTAAACTCAGTTCAGCACATTTTAAGACATCAAGTTAAACACAGCAGAATGAATTCAAGCAATCACTAGCACTTCCCATCTCCTGAAACTACACTATAATTACAGTAAACTCAAACTCAATGCCTTCAAGTCAGAAACACCCACAGCAGACCCTCTAGGCAGGTCTGCAGTCTGTAAACCACAGGAAAACATAACCCATCATTCTCCCTTGGAGTCACTGATGGAATCGAACTGTCAGAGAGGGATTCCAAATTTGGGTTAGCAGCACAACTCCCTACTCACTAGAGCTCCCTAAAACGACAACAAAGTAATCTTTTAAAAAGTACCAGGCTCGTAAGTGCAAAAAAATTAAGAAAGGTTACTGAAGGTAACAGAGATTTCAACAAGATTCTGGCATACGGTATTAGAGGCTGGACAGAATTCCTGGCTTTGGTCAGTACACCTTTATCTTTAAAGTGCTCTTGAGCACATCTGTGGTACAGAATGCCATTCCAAGGGTGTCAACTGTGGATCTAGTAAAATTATGGAAAATTTCAACCTTTTCTTCTTTAATTATGATGCTGTTTGTTGATCCAGTTGTGAAGATTTGTTTTGTGTTGAGATCTAATGCATTCTGAAGGCTACATAGTCTTTGATCTTCAGTAAGTGCTCTTAATTTTCAGCAACTTAGGGTAAGCAAACTCAGGCACAAAAATATATAATTTATGGTCCCATTTATATTAAATTTTTGTGGTGCTCAAGATTCCCAAATCCAAGTAGGGAGTAGGAGTGAGGATGAACTGTAAAGTGCACAAGAAAATCTACATTTAAAAAAAAAATCTACATCTCATAGTGGGGGGATATAGATAGATATAAGGGTGTTTTTACTTGTCAAGTCATTAAGTTATAGACTCAATCAAATAAAGTATAAAACTAAAGCAAACCAAAACTCACTGAGCTATATACTTGTGAATTTTAATTTATGTAAGTATTCTGCTTGTTCATTATTCGTTGTGTACCACAGAGTTGGAACCAACCGATAGATGACCCTCTGGCGGGGTTTCAGAAGCAGGAGATTGAAGCTGGTGGCCTCTAACCGTGTGCCTTCAGGACTTCAACATAGGTTCTTGCCACTAGGCCACCAGAGCTCCACTTTATCTTAATAAGAATTATTTTAAAAGAAAAGAAACCACAAGGACTGTTTAATAAAAACTACTGAAACTGCTAACTAAAATACAACAATGTTCTAGGTCTAAAAAATGTATTGTGATGAATACAAAGTACATGTAACTTGTCTTAAGAAAAGCTATACTGGCGCCCGTGCCTGCAGCCTCGACGAGCCCAGCCATGCCCAAGTGCCTGAAGTGCGACAAGGATGTATATTTCGCCGAGCGGGTGACATCCCTGGGCAAGGACTGGCACTGGCCCTGCCTCAAGTGTGAGAAATGCGGAAAGACGCTGACCTCTGGGGGACACACCGAGCATGAGGGCAAGCCCTACTATAACCACCCCCTGCTATGCAGCCATGTTTGGGCCCAAAAGGCTTTGGGCGTGGAGGAGCTGAGAGCCACAGTTTCAAGTAGATCCAGGGTCCTAACTGCCTGGAGAAATGCTCAAGGGAGCACAGCCCTCACTTCTCTGTTCTGACCAGCCAGCTGCCACACTGCTGTCCCTCCAGGCAGATGCCAAGCCCTGACCCCCAGTGTCAGCGGCTCCCCTGGTACCACTCCCACTGTCAAACTCCAGACGCATGAGAAGAAAAAAAAAAAGCTATACTTCAGTTAATATTTTGCAAGAGACACTAATAAAGACTCAAATTTTAAATTCAACTAAAAAGCACAATAATACTAATTTTATATACAAGTTTAGAAAACTTGGATATGATCATATATACAACTTCAAACTAAGATCTCAAACTTTCTAAATAAGAGTAAATTAGTCACAATCATGACCTCAAATTATGATATGCTACTACTAAAATTACAAGTCAATATTTCTTCTGAACTCATAATCTGCTTGATTTATTTACTTAATGAAATGTTTTCAATTTTAGATGCACTGAAAAAGCCAAATATAATTTAACTTCGGGGGGGGGGGCGCGGCAGAATCATCTTTTAAAAGCACCAAGTATTGGATAAATGAGTACAACCTCTTCCAACAAATAAATTTATACTTGTAAAAACAATACACTAAGGATTCTTTCCTACTCAGCACGTCTTTCCTTTAGCTCAAGCTTAAATAGGAATTAGAATTTGATCTCTCTCACTCTGCCATCAAGTCAGAACTAACTCACAGCTGACCTACTTCAGTAGGTTTTCAGAGGCTGTAAACAGTACAGGAGAAGACTGTCTATCTTCCTTCCTTAGAGCAGCTAATGCCCTTGAACTGCCAAAAGAAGTGCAGCTTTTAGCAGCACAAGTCCTCCAGACTAAACCATCAGAGCTTCCCAGAGAATGTGACAGACTTTATATGCACAAGAGAATTTTATAAAAAGCACTGCAGGGGGCCTCTTTCATGAATCAACAAATATCCCACTAATTAAGCTCTAAAACTATAAATTAAAACAAAACTTTTATATTCTAAAAGTCCGCATGTGGTAACTCAGAATGTTCTGGGAAAAAAATAAGCCAGTGAGAGATTAAGAACACTTCCAAAAGCAACTTGAGTATTTTTATGTTAGGCCAGCCCAGAAGGCCTTTGCAGCTACCATTCCCTTTAAAATGAGAGAACTGTCAGGGAGCTCTGGTGGCCTAGTGGTAAGAAGCTGCACTGCGATCCCAAAGGTGCATGGTTTGAATCCACCAGATGCTCTGCTAGAGAAGGAGAGACAATCTCCTCCTGTACCAATCAGATCTGATTTGATGGTATACACACACACAAAGATAGTAAGATTTTTCTAATAGATAGACAGATAGATAAAATGAGAGAACTATCAATGTTCTCACAATCTTATATCTTAGAATCCAATGACCATGTCTTCATAGCTCTTGATGATCAACAGCTTATCCGTATTATTGTGATGAATAATTCTTTTTTTATTGAGCTTTTTTAATGAAAGTTTATAGAGAACTCAGATTTCAATTCATTCACTGTTGCACATTTTCCCCCCCCCAGTTCAACTGTCTCCTTGAGGGGGAAAAAATCTCTCATTGTTATAACAGCCCCCCAACCCCAGTCCACCTTACTATGCAGCTCTTTATTCTACAATAATTCTTAAAACTTCTTTTGTGTGTCAGCATGTGTCATGACACTGAACAAAATTCTTTTTGTCTAATGTTCTGAAATCTAAAACTTTCATTTCTAAAAATGAAACATCCTGAATGGTACAAAATATGTCCATCTGACACTATATGTAATGCTTAGAGAAAAAGCAGCAAGAAAAGGGAGAAAGTGGGAGCCAAGCAAAAGACTCACCTTGTCCCCGGTGGCAGTGGAAGTTGTTCAAGTGAATGACCTCTTTGTTGTTGTTACCCTCTGCCATTTTCAAAATCAGATATACATCTACGTGCCTGCTAATATCTAAGCATGTTGACCAACTACTCCAAAGGACCTGAAAAAGAAGAAAAAGCCATATTCAGGATGAAGGAATAGCAAAATTCTTCCCATGTGTCTGCTGAAGGAAGAATCCTAACCTTATGCTGAAAATACCTTCAAACATAAACACAAGCCAACAAACATCTAAAGATACACAAAAATTTTTTTTAAAAATACACACACACACACACACATAAAAAGAATTCTTAAAAAGATAAAGAATTAAGGGAGCTCTGGTAGCTTAGAGTTAAGAAGCTGCATTGTAATTAATTCCAGAGGTGCGCAGTTTGAACCCACCAGATGCTCTGCTGGAGAAGGAGGGACAATCTCCTCTTTTACCAGTTGGATCCGATTTCACGGTACACACACCAAAAATTATTTTAAAAAAATATAAAGAATTTGTAATGCATATTCAACTCACAAAATAAAGTCACAAAAAAAGTTAAAAAGAAAACATTTTCAAGCTCTCAAGTGACCAGAGTAAGCAGTGACCTCTCAAGTGACTTTTCAGTTAGCAGTCAAGTACCTCAACTCACCACCAAGAACTCAAAAAAGGACACCCGCTTTTAGGTGCTGCTAAGTAGAGTACAGCGCAAAGTTCCCCTATTAACAAGAAATCTGAACCCTGTCCTATCCTGTGCCATTCTCACAATCTCGGACACACTCAACTCACTGCAGCGGTTACCATGTTAATCCACCTGGTTGTCTTCTTCTTCTTGGCCATCCACCCACCCTCCAAAGCATGATGTCCCTTCTCCAATAACAACGTGCCAAAAATGTATGAGATGTCAGCATCTTTGCTTCCAAGGAGTACTCTGGCTGGATCCTCTCCAAGACTTATCTATTTGTTCTTTTGGCAGTGCATTGGGTATTCAGCACTCTTCTCCAACACCACAATTCAAAGGCATCAATTTTTCTCTCATCCTAATCAACGTCCAGTTCTCAGATGCAGAGCAACAGACCAAAAAGACCATGGCCTAAATCAGGTAACCACTGAGGGATGAACACACATTTGCAATAAATATGTACATTTGCAATACAAATATCAAGAACAGAAAATTCCTATAAGCCAGTAAGAAAAGGGCAACTCTCAAATGAAAAAGTGGAATAGGAAATTTACATAAGAGGATACCTTAATGGAAATTAGCATATGAGAAGCTTAATTCACCAGTAACCAGAGGAAATAAGCTAAAACAAAAATGAAACATTTCATGTACAACCAGGAGAGGATAATAGCAACGAATGGGACCTTCTAAAGATCAAGTCCCTCTGTAAGAAAACCTACTGACTGGGAAAAATTTTTGGCAATGATATCTTCAGGTAAGGATCTCCTAAGAGAAGTTCACAGAATACTACTAGCCCTCCTCTTTGAGACTTCATGTGGGTCCTGGACTGCTGCACCTCTTGGAGACCTTACAGTAGAATCAACAGCATCTACCATGAGTGGGACATGATGGGGACAACCCCTTTCTGTTACTCTTTCTTCTCAGACTGGGCTGTCATGCTGGTGTAAAAGTGAACTTTTGAAAAGCCGGGAATACCTGCACAGTCTGAGTCGCTTTTAGTTTCCTGTAATATAAATTACTACATAATAGAATAAAGAATTCTGGCAGCTTAGTGGGGTAAGCAGCTACACGGCCAACCCAAAGACATGCTGGAATTGATAGCAACTGTCAACAAACAGATCTGAGAATGTTATTACTTAATCTACTGGTTATCATTTTAAAAGTAAAGGTTTCTTGTAATGTGCGTGAACGCGAACACACACACACACACACACACACACACACACGACAACAGCATATGCCCAGGTATACAGTTCAAAGGGCAGAAAGAGATAGGATGGATGGAAGTGGGAAACATAGGGAAGTGAGAACAATACTGTTATAGCGTGGAGACTGCAAGTAATGCTGTCAAAACAGAATGTGTACAAATCACTGAACAGAAAATTAATTTGCTCCGCAAAACTTTCAGCCAACTGGTAATAAAGTTAATTTAAAAATTGTGCAAATTAAATACGGAAAAATTATTGTTATTTAAGGCAATATGTCATCAACACAGCAGCTTTATTACAAGTATGTGTCTATAGGTGGCACCGTAGTGACTCCAATTCAGAGAGATCCCAATGTGACAGAAGTGGCCAACAGGGTTTTGTAGGGTGTCATCTCTACAGAAGTAGATCAATAGATCCTTCTCCCCTATAATAGGAGGTACCAATGTTAACTGTGTTTTTTCCAAAAGCTTTTGACTATGTCTTACACACAGACGTGTTCAGTGCCTAGAAAAATGTCAAATGAATTTTGTTATGACATTCATATGAAAGCTATTTACAAATAAGGTATGAAAGCTAGTTACAAATAAGACCCATTCTTTCCTAAGTATGTTTCTTAGTTTAATTCATAGGTAAGTGAGAACAGGTGCATAAAGCTCTTTCTTAACCTTATGCTAGTCTGCATTATTTATTGGGCTACTAAGCAAAAGCTTAGCAATTCAAATACACCAGCCATTTCAAAGATGTGGTTGTTTTCTGCTTCCAGATTTACAGCCTCAGAAACAGAATGGAGGGCTGCCACGAGTTGAAACCAACTTGACAGCAGTGGTATTTTAGGGTTTTATTTTAAACAACCAAAGGGCTCCTTAAAGGCAAGGATAAGGAAAACTTCATCTCACATACTTTGGGAGTGTTAGGAAGGACCAGTCCTTAGAGGAAGGTATCATGCTTGCAAAGGTAGGAGGTCAGGAAAGAGAGGAAGCTTCTCCACAAGATGAACTAACACAGTGACTATAATAACAGGGTAGAGTACGTCGGAGCTTAGGAGGATGGCACAGGAAAGGCTTGCTATGTGTGGTAGTTGACTTGATGGCACCCAACTACTGCCTTCGATTCAATTCTGACTCATACCAACCCTTTAGGTTTCCAAGACTGTACATCTCTAAAGGAGGAGCCTTCCCATCCTTCGCCTGTGGAGCATCTGTGGATTTTAATAGACCCAATCGCTCGCTGGAGGGCTTCTGAAATGTTAAACACTATGTCCCTGCGGCTCCTTTCCAATTTCAGGTATTTATATGTATTTTTTGTTTCCTTAGTTTTTGGTTTGCTGATTATATTATTTAACTTCAAGTAATTTAAAATTAGTAATTGTTGTTGTGTACCATAGAGACACAACTGACCCATAGCTGACCCTCCAGCGGGTTTTCAGAGGCAATTAATCACACAGGACTGCCCATCCTTCTCCTGCCAAGCAGCTGTTAGCCTCGAACTGCTTATCTTTGGGATTGCAGCACAGCTTCTGGCAACTAGGACACCAGAGCTCCCAAGAGCAGTAATACACTAAAATAATTTAGCAAATATTTATTGTTCATTAGTGTGTTACAGATCTAGAGAACACAAAAGAAAAAATCTCACATGGATCTTGCCTCACAGAAGATGAAATCCCATCAGTAAGAAAAACTATGTACACAATTGGCAATACTACAAAAGACAGTTCTGCACGCAATCAAGGGTATGGCTGCTCAGAAAGCAGCACTTTCCAGCTGGGGGAGGACGAGGGGCCAGAGAAGGCCTGGCTGAGATGGCAGAACTGCAGCTAAGCTTTCAAAGGAAGAAACGCGCACAGAGGAGAAGGACGACAAGCCACAAGAAGGGAGGTACAGGAGGAAAAGCACAGACATCAGGAATATGTGTGTCCAGTGTGGCATATAACAAGGGAGGTAAAGGTAAAATGAGTAAGGCAAAAATGCTGGAGAAAGGCCAGGAATTTAAAACAGATAAAAAGAGCTGTCAATTCTTTAAGATACTTTTCCACTGAGAGCTGTGGTCCATTTCCCTTCCCTTTGGATTCACTGATCTACAACTGCATGCCTAACAGACTTATCAGGTAGTTTCAAGCTTAACTTTTATGAAAGGAGCAGTTGCCATCTAGGGTTCCTGGGAGGGCCAACCACACAGTGCAGCCTGGGACTACATGGTAAGGAAAAGATCAGCTGAGCCAAGGCTTCCAGAAGGCTCTAAAAAATGCAACCAACATACCTGGAAAGACAACATCCTAGCTCCAACCACCTCAGCTGACACCATGTGGATATTGGGTATGCTGGGGAAACCATTTCCAATTTCCAGACTCAAAAAACTGTGAACTACAACTGTTGATTTAAGTTGCAAGGAAGCTCTGGTGGCCTAGTGGCAAGCAGCTGTGCTGCAATCTAGAAGGCACGCAGTTTGAATCCACCAGAAGCTCCACTGGAGAAGGATGGGACAATCACCTCCCCTCCTGTGCCAGTTGGTTCCGATTCAACGGTACACAACAAGGCAAAAAAAAAGGTAACTGAGACACCTAAATCTTACTTTCCAGTCAATAGGAAGCAGTGAACTGTTGTGCTTTTAGAAAAGCACAACTTACTTTAGTGTTGGCCAGTTCTTTTTGATACAGTGATTCTGTATTCTCTCCATCATCTTTTCTTTTTTAAAAAATTTTAATTGTGATTTTAGTGAAAGTTCAGACAAGATGAATTTTCATTCATTCAACGATCTCCTTCCTCTCCTTCCTCCAATTACCTTTTAATGCATGTCTTGTTCCAGATTGTCATACATATAATGTCTAATCATCCAGACCTCTGGGATAGCTTTTCCCTTCTCCTATTCCCAGTAAGTAGTCATTATCTATCCATTCTTTTCCTGCTCTACCCTCCACTGTGTCCATCCTATTTTTCTAACAGTGGTCTTGGGTAGTATTTGTCCTTTTGTGACTGAGTTATTTCAGTTAGCATGTCTCCTAGACTCATCTGTGTTGTGTAGTATATTGCAACGTCACCGTTTTTCCATGTTGTATAATATTCCATCATATGGACAGGACTCCAACTTCTTGTAATGCTTCCTGGATCATTCAAGATTGTGTCCAAACACCTCTCAGCACTACAACTTAAGGCCTCCGTATGACCAAAGGACCTGTATCAGTTCCACACTTAACTTTTTTTTTTTTGCTTAACCTTTAAGAATGTCCCATGAACTGACA